TCCTGTACCCAGAGCCTCAGAAGCTGAGTGCCAGGCACCAACATTATGGCAATCTGCTGTGGAAAGTTATATTCCTCAAGTGGGAAAGACTGGGGGAGCTCTTGAGAGTCAGAGAGCTTGGCCCAGTGGGGGAATGGGGGATTAACTCTGGCTCCAAGAGGGGGAGGACACAAACCTCAATTACACTGCTCCTCTATACCCTTTTTCTAAAGGTATTGTCACAAATGACAAAATGATAATAATTTTTAAGGTAGAAGATGGGTCATAAGAAATCACTATATTTTTTCTCTGATGTGCATGTTTGAAATTTTTCATAATAAAATGTTACAATAGTTAAAAGATGATGGGAGGAAGACAGGGTCAACTTGTCATTGTTCTGAGAATGATAAAAAACCTAAAGAGTTGCATGAATATACCTATGACCAGGTCTACCCCCTTTTAATCATTTGTCCCTCGGACTCCCTTGCTCACTCAAGCTCTCTTTCTACGTTCAGATAGATGGATAGAGAAATAGAATTTTTTTCAAACACATAAGGGCAGGTTGCATATAACAAAGCCCTTTACCTATAAATACTACAGTTTCTATATGGTTTTAAAAAAGATATTGTCTTATATACACACAGTACACAAAAACTACAGTAAATGTAACATTGTTTCAGGATATTATCTAATGTCAAGTTTTACAATGTCTATCAATGTATTTTCTTTGCCATCCAGAACATGACCCAGTAGGATACTTGTATTTGGTTTCCAACTCTCCAGGCATTATGACAAAATCGTCAGAATCATGGATCAGCCACTGTGCCTGGATCATCCCCATCCATTGCTCCTGTGGCCTGGGTATGCCCTGCCAGCTTGGGAGAAAGAGGCCATGTTTCTCAGGCCACCCTCTCCACTGTATCAGGCTTTAAGGACAAAATGCATTTCAACAAGTCAACAAAATAGTCTTCAGTCTCCTCTGAGAAGGAAAATTTTTTTTTTTTATTAAAGATTTCTTTTTTTTTTTTTATTTTTTTTAAGGTTTTTTTTTTTATTTATTTCTAGAGAGAGAGAGTGAGCAGGGGAGGGTCAGACAGAGAGGGAGCCACAGACTGAAACAGGCTCCAGGCTCTGAGCTGGCAGTCAGCACAGAGCCCGACGCGGGGCTCGAACCCACGAACCATGAGATCATGACCTAAGCGAAAGTTGGACGCTTAACCGACTAAGCCACCCAGGCGCCCCGGAAAATTTTTTATCAAAGAACTGTTTCTGTACAATTAGAGAAAATTAACTAGTCCACATGCTACCACATCCTCTGAAGAAGATGGTCTCTGTTCTCTGTTTCTCAAAACCAAAGGTATTTATTCTTTTCAAACATATTTGCTCTTCTAATATCCATGTACTCTCTTCTGTTGGTGCTGTGTTTGTAGTTTTGTTTAGGGAAGCTCTGAAGTTTGGGCTTAGAGGAAGGAAAGAGTCCTCTTCAGTTGTTAGAAGTGACCAGGGGCTTGGAAGGAAGTTGACTTTGGCTTTGCTCTCCCTGCCAGCTCAGAGATATGTAGACAGAGAAGTAGGCAGCAGGGAGGCTGCTGGGTCTGTTCACCCTCCTGGATCAAATGAAAGGTTAGTAGTTATCAATAGCTCTGTTCACAGGTTAAAGAACTTCCCTTTTTCTCTGCTGTATGAGAGGCACAGGTATGGGAGTATGTACATAGTAATACTGGCTACCTGGCTACAGAATTCTGTGTAGTCAAGGTGGAACGAAGGTGGTAAAGCAATATCCATTGTCTTGTCTCCTTTCCTCTCTCTTGTCAAGAAGAAGCCAACAAGATGGGAAAACACTATGGGAGGCAAAAGAAGACCTGGAAAAGCAATTTGTATATATTGTCATGCAGTACTCAGGTTATTTTCCACAACTCGAGTGTGAAATGAATTCCAAACTTGATGCATAAAATTGACTCCTGGCCTGGGCCAGATGTCCTTACCTCCTCTCCACTTCCTTGACTGCATACCAGGACAGCCCAGCTTTGAAGTGGGTGAAGGACAGGACATGGTTTTTTGTGTCTTTTAGAGATGGTCTCCAGTATCACTGAACCCAGAGCATTATAGGAGCACTAAGTGGGAGTCTGTATGGTAGGCAATATTGCTGTGCTGGATTCTGGGCTGGTTCAGATTAAGAATCGCTTAAGAGGCAAACCATGAGAGACTCTTGAATGCTGACAAAAACTGAGGACTGACGGATGTGGGGGGGAGGGAGGGATGGGCATGGAGGAGGACACTTGTGGGGATGAGCACTGAGTGTTATGTGGAAACTAATTTGACAATAAACTATTTGCAAAAAAAAAAAAAAAAAAAAAGAATCACTTAAGAATCTGCCTTGTCTGGGATGCCTGGGTGGCTCTGTCAGTAAAGCCTCCAACTTTCGCTCAGGTCATGATCGCATGGTCCATGAATTCAAAACTGTGTTGACAGTTCAGAGCCTGAAGCCTGCTTCAGATTCTGTGTCTCCTCTCTCTCTGCCCCTCCTCTGCTCCTGGTCTCCCTCTCTCTCTCAAAAATAAACAAACACTTAAAAAAATTTTTTTAAAAAGTATCTGCCTTGCCTGTGGTATTAATGTGTCTGGAAAGCAAACTTTAAGCATGACAAATAGATCTCCCTTTGAAGTGAGCATGCTAGGAAAGGAAAGTCCCTCCCAACCAAGTCTCTTCAAGGTGCCCAGTTTGATGACACATTGCTAGACTAAGGTATTACCCTGCTATCAATGGCAGAAGCACTCTTGGTGCAACCTCTCTGCCTGGGAAAAGACGAGACAGAAAGGGAGAAACTAGTTTGGACTTCAGCAAACATGGAGGAAGAAAGAATAAAAAGGGAGAAATATCCAGATGGTTGGAAGGAATGGGAATGTTCCCATTATCCTCAAATGTGTTCCTACACACACACACACACACACACACACACACACCGATCCAGGTCCCATCTTCCTGTGGCACATTTAAGCACTATGAGCATACTGACGCCATCCTAGAGGAAATGTACAAGGATCCTGCCTTTGAGCACAAGATAATATTTATATAAAGACTGTCAAGTGTGGCATGGCCCTTTCCCCAATCTGAGGAAGGCAAACTTAATATATTCCTTCTGGCCACACTTGATGACAATGTATAGGATATGCACACCATCATGATCAGGGTTAAGACACTGCCTTGTGATTTTCAAGCTCTTGGTAGATCCCTTGTAGATCTCCAGAGACACCTATAGTTCATGCAACATAGGTGAATCCTACACTTTGCTCCTAAAGTGCAATGGTTCTACAAATTGCCTTGGACCCTGATCCAATGCTTTGAAGGCTGAGTAGTCAAGGATACCAAGCAGGTCCTCATTTTCATGTATATCCATGTCATCTGGATCAAGGCCATAGACTTGCAGAGGGAGTGTCTGCAAGCAAAGAAGCCATCAAAGGGATGCAACCACAAAGAAGGAGGCAAAGGTGACTCGTGGGGCCCAGTGAGAGGTAAAGTGAAAGGAACCACTGCCAACTCAGTCCTGAGGTGAGAAGGTGGAACTGTGTGGCTGATCCTGTCTCCAACCCATTCCCATCACCCTACCCAAGCACCCAATTCATGGGCCTAGAACAGCAAACTATCTTTTACAAAGAGCACCAGTCTTATAAAGGAAGCAAAGCCTACAAATGGGCAAGATTAATTTCAATTCCTAATAATATAGCAAAGAATATTTGAAATCCCTCATTTTATTTGATTCTCATAACTTAAAATTCAGGGAGACTGAGTTACCCAGTGAATGAGAAATCTAGTACTAGAGAAACTCAGATGTGACTGTCAGTCTGGGGATCTTTGCCATGAATCCCCAGACCAAGGACACCCAACCAAGGGCTAAAGGACTAGTCTGGAGACATATCCAAAATTTACCCCTGGTCCCTAGGTATTTTATTATCTCTAGAGATACACAGGAGATGAAGCAATCATAAAGGATTGAAAAACACAGGAGGCTAGTAAGAAGGGATCCCCTAATCTTACTCTGCTTCTAGCACTTTGTTTCTCCTTTCAGGATTCATCCCATATGAAAAAGCAGGAGGGCAAAAGTCATGAGCTGAATAGTGAAGGAGCTACTGCTCTTTGACAATCCTGTTTTCAAATGATTTTCACAGTGTTGTCCAGTGTTCCCAAGGGTCATTGTTCGCTTTGTCTAGAGCTGTGCTCCTAGAGGTGCTATTGATACAGAATACAATGAGAATGAGGTCCTTAGAGTGACAGAATCCCAAGTCCTACCCCCTATACCTAAAGAAAGGCCAATTAAAATGCATCAGTGGATTGGTGGCTTAGATGAAATGGCTCTGGTCTACACATTTTTGGAGGTTGTTATTTTAATGCTATAACTTGTCAAAAAAAAAGGTACTTGCTGTTTTATACTTCTCCTAAGTTTATTAGTCATTTGTATTTTTCTAATGTTTATTTATATTTGAGAGAGAGAGAGAGAGAGAGGGAGAGAGTGTGAGCAGGGGAGGGGCAGAGAGAGAGGGAAACAGATTCTGAAGCAGACTCCAGGCTCTAAGCTGTCAGCACAGAACCTGACGTGGGGCTCAAACTCATGAACTGCAAGATCCATGACCTGAGCTTCTGAAGTCAGACACTTAACTGACTAAGCCATCCAAGCGCCCCTAGTCACTTGTATTTTTAAATTAATTTCTTGTTCATTGCCTTTAGCCTATTTTTCTATAGAATTACTTGCTTGCTTGCTTTTTACTGTTGATTGGCAGAAGTTTTAGAATTTTAACTTTTTGTCTCTTCTATGTTTCAAATATTTTCCCCAGTGTCATTTGTAGTTTAATTTTGTTTCTGCAGTACTTTGCCACCTGAAAACTTCACATTTTTATATATCAATTCTGCCAAACATATCTTTTTGGCAATATTAAAAATTCAGATAGTTTTAAACACCAGACAGATCACACAAATAAGTGAAATAGTCTAGGAGAGGACTGGGTAAACTAGAAAGCAACTTTTTTATAATAGGCAGAAATTATTTATTTAAACAAAGGGAGAAAACTCCTAGATTACGAACATGGCTGAGCAGGTTTTCATGTGTTCCAAAGGCTTTGGCCATGGCCTTGATGGAAGGGTGTGCACAGTCAGGCTGGGCTTGATTCTTCGAAGGCATACTGCAGCTCTAAACGGAACCTTGAATGACTAAAAGGTAGAAAATGTTACTTATCCAAGTTGAGACTGGCCATTCCTCACGTGTCCACTTTGGTGGAGAGGTACTTGCTGTTCATCCAACTTTGATGCTCAGGGTAGCAGGTAGAGTAACATGAAGGAAACTCATCAGTAAATATCCCTAGGAATGAAGAAATTGCCTTGTCTGTTGGTGCTGATTATGAGTAAATACCTCTATTGTCCCTCCCTTGTATACCCACTCTTTCACCCTTTGCCTAGCTAATTGGTATTCCTTTCAGTCTCATCTTAAGGCTTCCTTTAAGCTCTCCCTGACCTCTCCCTGTCATCCCATGTCCCATCTGTTTTGTTTCTCCTCATACGTTCCCATAGCAAACTGCACTTTCCACGTCACAGCATTTATCACTTCAGAAGATAACCATCTATTCACTTATCTACCTCCCTAACTACATCACATGCTACTTAAGGCAAAGACAACGGCCTATCTTGTTCACAACTACATTCCCAGTACCTAGGCTAACACAAAGTAGAAGCTAATATTCATTGGTGGCATAAACAAGTAATGTGTGTATGGCTCTACAGTAAGTACTGCATCTGTCTCATATTTTCATTATGCACATAAATTTAGAAGGCATGATGGATTAATAGTTTTCTTCCATAGTGAGCCAAGAAAAGCCTCTGGCTGGGCAATAATACAACCCATGTCTCCAACAGAAATACAGAGAACTATGAAAACAAACATGTGGTCATTTGAATCTGGCTCAATTTTCATTCCAGAGAATTATCCATGTTCCTTTTATTGTTTATTTATTTTGTTTTAACTTGAAAAGGAATCAAAATGCTAACATGGAACACAAACTGCTAAACAACATCAAGGGGTGGGGGCAGGGAGGAAGAGACGGAAATAGAAAAAAGCAGTAAAAATAAACTGAGTAAAACAGCATTTCAAAACAGTCTTATTCTGAGACAACAGGAAGCTATCTGACTTGTTCTTAAGATGTAAAACATTTCACAAGCTTGTTAAACTTCAAGAGTAAAGAATAAAAGCAACTTCTTGATGTGAATCTAGACTTTTTCTTAGCTCTCAAAAAAAACCCAAAAACTACCTTTCTTTTTCCTCAGCAGGGATCTCAGCAGAGAGAGAGAAGAAGGAAGGGAGGGAGGAAACGAGAGACAGGAAGAGGGAGACAGAGGGGAAGAAAGAGGGAAGATGGGAAGTGAAGGAAGGAGGAGAGGAAAGGAGAGGAGATGAAGAAAAGAGAGAAAATCTTGAAATTTAGTTTTTCTTAATAAGACTACGCTATATAGACCAAATATAAATGCTAGGAAATTCTGAAAAGATTGGATGAACAGACCCCCAGCTTCAGAATAAAAAGAAAACCTTTACCTGTTAATCTTAATGATTTTTAAAATGTTTTTAATGCTTTTAGAAAAAAATGGTTTCTTTACTTGAGCTGAGCAGTTAATACCAAAAATACTTCAGGGGTGTCTGTATAGTTGATCCCTTCCCACCCCTCCCATGCATGTGTGTGTGTGTGTGTGCACGCGCGCGCGCACACACACACACACACACACACACTTGCTACCACCATAGTCCCCACTGGAAAGACGAATCTCGGGCAGCACATGATGTCCCTTTCCTCGCCATAGTTGACTGAATCAAGATCAACATTTTCCTCCACTCTATCAATCAAATACAACCTTTCAACTTGAAGTAACAGGAAGTTAATTTGGCTTTAATTCATCCCCATTTGCGGATGAAAAATCACTAATTTTTTTTTTAATTTTTTAATTTTTTAATTTTTGCTGCTGAAATCACTAATTAAAGTACTATTCCATTGCAATATAGCAAAGAAAGAAATAAATGGGGCTGCAGGAGAAGTGAAGGAGGGAAAAAGGAACATACTAAGATTTCCACAGAGTTGAAATAAATGTACATTAACCCTTGATGTGTTCCCAAAGTGATTTAAAACATTTTGACCTACTTAAAGTCAAATCTTGTTATTGGGTTTGATTATTTATAGATACTGAAAATATGTACTACAAAGCAATTTACTGCCTTTGAAATTTCTAAAATGGGTTTTCACAGCCTCAATTAAGAAATGTACTACATCAGTTAGCCATTATGAAAGTATCCATGAATTCTGAATTTAAGTATAAATCAAGACAGTAAGTAAAAGAAATAACTATTACTCAGCCATCAAAAAAATCAAATATTGCCATTTGCAAAGTTGTGGATAGAACTAGAGGGTATTATGCTAAGTGAAATAAGTCATCCAGAAAAGGACAAATACCATATGATTTCACTCACATGTGGAATTTAAGAAACAAAACAGATGAACATAGGGGAAGGAAAAAAAGAGACAGTGAAACAAACCATAAAAAGACTCTTAAGTACAGAGAACAGAGGGTTGCTGGAGTAGAGTTGGGTAGGAGAATGGATTAAACAGGTGATGGGCATTAGGAAGGACACTTGTTATGATGAGCACTGGGTACTGTAGGTAAGTGATGAATCACTAAATTCTACTCCTGAAACCAATATTTCACTGTGTGTTAACTAACTTGAATTTTTTAAAAAATAATTAAAACCTAGCTGCATTATAAAAAAAAGTCATGTTCATTTATTCAGCACTTATTGAAATCTCCTATATACCAGGCCTCTGCTAGGGACTAAAGATATTGCAGTGAACAAAACAGACATAAATCCTTGTCACATGGAACTCACATTATACATGGAGAAAATAATAAATAAAATTAATAAATTATGCAAGATAGCCTATTACGTGGTGATAAAAGTAATATGAAAAAAAAATTTTAAAGAAGGGGATTATCAGGGAAATCCTCAATGAAAAAATAACATTTGAGGAAAGGTCTTTAAATTTATCCATGAAAACTTTTATTTTGTTTATTTTTTAAGTTTATTTTGAGAGAGTGAGTGAGAGAGAGAATCCCAAGTAGGTTGGGCACTGCTGGCACAGAGCCTGACACCAGGCTCAAATCCAGGAACTGTGAGTCCATGACCTGAGCTGAAATCAAGAGTCGGACACTTAACTGACTGAGCCACCCAGGTGCCCTATCCATGTAAACTGTTAAATTGAAGTGATACTTATTTTATGAAAACAAAAACATGAAGGGTAGCTCTTCCTAGATAAGAGTACATTTTCTGTCCCTAGAGTGAGCACACCTTCAAGGTGAAGTCACCAAGCCTTTGTCCACTGGGCAGATACCATCCTGTGATGCCTTCCCAGATTCCTGAACTCTCTCAGACAGAATTAATTAACCCTTCCTTGTCTAATGTCTCCTTATATACACAAATGTCTGTGAGTACCAGGCTTTCTATCCTAGTAAAGTTCATTCTCCTTGGAGGTTTTTGTTTTTTGTTTTTTGGGTTTTTTTTTTGCAGGGGGGACGATGGGGTTCTGTTTCCTCCACATGTAACACAAGGACTTATTCATTACAGAAACTCAACATTTTAATATAATGTTTATTTTTGAGAGGAGGGAGGGGCAGAGAAATGGAGACATAGGATCCAAAGCAGGCTCTGTGCTGACAGTACAGAGCCCGATGTGGAGCTGGAGCTCACAAACCTCACTATCATGACCTGAGCCTGAGAGTTGGGCACTTAACCGACTGAGCCACTCAGACACCCCTCAACATTTTTTTAACTGAAAAGACACCATGCCCAAATAATTAACAGTAAACATAACCGTAAAATGCATATCTCAATATTGGCTAGACTATCCCCAAACCAGAGAATAAGATATTTTCTGCCTATAAATCCTATGAAGGCTTCTCATAGCCACCAGGAAAAAAGTGTTCAGAGAACTTAAGCAGGCATTCAAGACCTGCAGCGGCTCATCTTTGCCCACTTTCCCAGCCTCCACTCCCACTACTGTGCCACATTTCCCCATTCCAGTCATGCAAACATGCTTATTTCTTGAGAGCCAAGTCTAAGCTTCTGCAGAAACTGTTTCCTTTGCCTGAGGTTCTTCTTCTCCTCCCATTTCTGGCAAATTCCCACTCCTCTTAAGACTCTGTTCTAGCTTTACTTACTCTGAACAGCCTTCCTTTATTTCCTCAGGTAGAGTTTACTCTTTCCTCTGAGCTCCCATTTTCCAATCCTCAGTTACAATATTTATCACATTATGGTGTAACCATTTCCTTATCTGGCTTCTCCACTTGACTGAGAGTTCTTTGAGGTTAGAGACCACCATCTTTTTCATCTTTGTACCTTCAGTGGATAACAACAGTACCAGGCATGTAGGAGTTATTAATAAGTCTCAGATGAGTGAATGTCGAATATATTTTAAATATTTTCTTAACAACATCCAGCAAGAAACTATCAGAGAGAATACAAGAAAACAAGTCTTAAGTGGACTTTTTCCTCTATACCATTCTGCATATTGAATAATGTGGCTTATATTCTAAGCACATGCAAATCTAAAACAGGCACATTATTAGGACACAAGGATCTCTGGAATCCTTGGTGGTAAAACATGTATGTAGCATGTGCTATTTCATATGATGTTAAATATTTGAAGCATTCAAAATTAGCAATATGAACAGCTAAATGGAAGACATTAAGTAAGTGTCTTTAACAGGTACTTAAGGACATTTGGCGTTGTCTGGAGTCATTTTTTGTGGGAGTCATTTTTCCCACGATTTGGGAGATGGAGCTGCCACTATCATCTAGTGAGTAGAGGGCAGGGATGCTATTAAACATCCCACAAAATGCACAACTCTGCCACACAAAAAAGAATTATCCAGCCCTAAATGTTAGTAATGCTGAAGTTGAAAAACTCTGGTCTAACACTTTTACCCTAAGAAAGTGTGTATATGTATGTATATACATACATATAAAAATTGGTTTTTTATATTTATATATATATAAAACCAATTTTTATAACAACATTGAAAGTTCTTTGGAGCTCTTACATAAATATGACTGCTTCTCTAGTCAACTGCTAGGAATGTACAACTTCTATATATAATTACAAAAGATTGTACTCTGACCTGAGGGAAATGTCAATCTCAGGGAAAAGAGAAGGGCTGGGTTTTTGTGTTCCACATTTGATCAGCAGCAATTTGAACTCTGCTAAAACAATTATGTGATAATAATCATTATACTCAATCTCAGAACCATTTTGATGAACTATTAAGAAACATCAATTAAAGTATTAATGCTGATAAAATGGATGACGACTTTGAAAAGACTCAGTAGGCCACTTAGCAAGATTACAAGATTACCAACCTTTGTAACATTTTGGCAACGCATACAAGGCTAAAGTAGTTTAAAAACCAGGAAATACATCAAAGCAGAATCAGAAAATATAAAAGTACTCTAAATCTAGTCACCCAGATTATGTCAGTAATTTGATGAAGGGGGCAACAATCCAACCCAACCTACTTTATTTCAGTGACATAATAGCAATGTGATACAAATTAAATTTCAACTTCTGTCTCCAGCTTCTTTTTTTTAATACTAATTGAATCCCTTCTTTATTTATGTTATAGGCTGTATAAATTAAATTTACCTTGTTATTTTTTAATAGTTTATTGTCAAATTGGTTTCCATATAACACCCAGTGCTCATCCCCACAAATGCCCTCCTCCATGCTCATCACCCCCCTTCCCCTACCTGCCACCCCCATCAGCCCTCAGTTTGTTCTCAGGATTCAGGAGTTTCGCATGGTCTCTCCCTCCCTCTCCCCAACTATTTTTCCCCTTCTTCTCCCCCATGGTCCTCCGTTAAGTTCCTCTTAATTCACCTATACGTGCAAACATATGGTACCTGTCCTTCTCTGCCTGACTCATTTTGCTGAGCATAACACCTTCAAGTTCCATCCATGTTGCTACACATGGCCAGATTTCATTCTTTCTCATTGCCATGTAGTATTCCATTGTATAGATAAACTACATCTTCTTGATCCATTAGTCAGTTGATGGACACTTAGGCTCTTTCCATGTTTTGGCTATTGTTGAAATGGACTTATTACAACCAACCTCTCAGAAATACAAGCAATTATCATGGAATACTATGAAAAATTATATGCCAACAAACTGGACAACTAGGAAGAAATGGACAAATTCCTAAACACACACTACCAAAATTCACACGGGAAGAGATAGGAAATCTGAAGAGACCGATAACTAGTGAAGAAATTGAATCAGTTATCAAAAATCTCCCAACAAATAAGAGCCCTGGGCCAGATGGCTTCCCTGGGGAATTCTACCAGACATTTAAAACAGAATTAATACCCATTCTTCTCAAGCTATTCCAAAAAATAGAAATTGAAGGAAAACTTCCAGACTCGTTTTATGAAGCCAGCATCACTTTGATTCCCAAGCCAGAGACCCAGCAAAAAAATAGAACTACAGGCCAATATCCTTGATGAATACAGATGTAAAAATCCTCAACAAGATACTTGCAAATCAAATTCAACAGCATATAAAAAGAATCATCCACCATGATCAAGTGGGATTCATTCCTGGGTTACAGGGCTGGTTCAGTATTTGCAAATCAATCAATGTGATATATCACGTTAACAAAAGAAAATATAAAAACCAATGATCCTGTTGATAGATGCAGAAAAAGCATTTGACAGGATGCAGTATCCCTTCTTAATAAAAACCCTTGAGAAAGTCGGGATAGAAGGAACTTACTTAAACATCATAAAAGCCATCTATGAGAAGCCCTCAGCTAATATCATTCCCAATGGGGAAAAACTGAGAGCTTTCCCCCTTGAGATCAGGAACACGACAGGGATGTCCACTCTCACCACTGTTGTTTAACAGTGCTGGAAGCTAGCATCAGCCATCAGACAACAAAAGGAAATAAAAGGCATCAGAACTGGCAAAGAAGAAGTCAAACTTTCACTTTTCACAGACAACATGATACTCTACATGGAAAACCCGACAAACTCCACCAGAAGCCTACTAGAACTGATCTGTGAATTCAGCAAAGTTGCAGGATACAAAATCAACATACAGAAATCGGTTGCATTTTTATACACCAACAATGAAGCAA